GAGGAGGAGGAGGAAGCGGAGGCGGAGGCGGAGGAGGTGGAGGAGGAAGCGGAGGAAGCGGAGGAGGAGGAGGAGGAAGAGAGGAGGAGGAGGAGGAGGAGAGGAGGAGGGGAGGAGGAGGAGGAGGAGGAGGAGGAGGAGGAGGAGGAGGAGGAGGAGGAGGAGGAGGACCCCCACCAGGCGGGCCTCCCCGCGCTCTGGCGCGCGCGGGCGCGGCCAGGTCCCTGGAGAGGACCAGCCCCTGTGGGAAGAAGAAAACCCAGAGGATACTGGAAGTCGGTAGTTGCCAGAAGGCAAACTCCCACGAATAGCCACCGAGATGACCACAAGCAGCGGGATCCTGCACCGCGCGATTCCCGGGCGGGCAGTGCATGCAAATGTACAGTGTAGCAGAAAGCGCCAGCAAACTGGAGGCCCCACCAGACGTAGTAGACCAGCGACGCCCACAGCAGCCCGAGCCAGTTCAAGCCATAGTCCATGTAGACGACCAAGCCACGCAGACCTCGTGTTAACGACATGGAGCCCTAGCGCACGCCCGGAGGCATCGTATGCCCGTCGACGCCGATGGAGACGGTAAGGTCGACAATCCACACACTCGTAATATTCAGCCGAGTGCGGCGAAGGCACCGCACGTTTATCTGCGAACTGAGAAAGCCAACGTTGAACAACAGCACCAAACAAAACACAGACCAAACTCGGTAGCAATCTGCCCAAATTCAAGGGAACCCGCATCAAGTTAGATAGAGACACAGAGAGCCTCGATCACGACAGCGACGAACATAATCTAGCACGGCCACGCCTCGTAAGTATACACTATCGGGCGCCGACGTCTAGCACGTTGAACTTCCCATACCACCGAAACTGAAAGCGAGAACTGCCCGCGGACTGGTCCTGGAAGAAATCGCAGAAAGCACCGTCGACCACGATCTAGTGCTGAAAAATGGCATGACGAACCTGGGATGTGTGCCTCTTTCTGCGGGGCGTTCCAAAAACGACCTTGCCTTCGAGGATCGAAGGAGTTGTCATTTCTTCCGCGGCGGAAGGCGGTGGAAGGGCGGCGGAAGGTCGGCGGAAGTAAACGAGGCCGCCTCCGAGGGCAGAAACCGGCGGAAGGCGGCGGAAGGCTGGCGGAAGGCGGCGGAAGTAAAAAGTCGACCCCTCAAGAAATGAAAACGCTTTTGGGTTCAGTGCTTTCGAAATCGCCCATGTGTGTGTACCTGACCCGTTTACCACGCCTCGGTTGTGCACAGGATCTTGTCCTGGGTCTGCTGCCTCCTCGGTGCTCTCGGAGGCCGCCACGGTCGGTCTCTCGCGCGCGCGGCTCCGATCGGGCATCTCAAGCAGCAGGGAGCAGGGCGGGGCGGACGTCTTTCCCATTGCAGGCCATCCGAGGTGGGGAGTTCTACACAGCCGCCGCCTGGGGGATCGAT